ATGTAAACAGTAGGTTATATATATATATATATATATATATATATATATATATATATATATATATATATATATATATATATATATATATATATATATATATATATATATATATATATTTGCTTACAGAAACATAACTAAAAATAAAAGGTAACGAAAATCACCAACAAAAAAAAAAAAAAAATTGATTCTTTCAAAAAAGTTTTATCAATATATCTCAACAGAGTAAATATTTACAAATCCAAACATATCGAGAGACATTATAGCTAAAGTGGAAATAAAAAACATAACAAGTAAATAGCATAAATTACAAAACTAATTTTCACATAAATTATGACAGCTTTAGTACTTTCGTTTTAGATACTTTGCTACTGCTCGGAGTGGTAATTATTGCATAATTCTTTAGCAAAATATTAGAATATATTCTGCATTGTTTTTTTGTGATTTTAAATTTATATTTAGCTGCAATGAACTGAAACTGAGTAACACAAATTGTTCTGCATAAGGGGCCAGTAACACAACAGGAATGTCAAGTTGTAATATCAATTTAGTGTGTTGAATATTAATTTTTTCAATTACAGATTTAGCGTTTATAAAGTAAGCACCTCCAAATCCTTGTCGAAGTTTAGAAAAAGCTTTTTTAAGTGGATCTTTTGTAAACCAACCTAATAAAACATACTTCGCTCCATTACTCAACAAAGTTTCTACAAGATCAATTAGGCCATAACATGTATGCGCTATTGCATTGCTAGTATCTAGAGTAAGCTGTTTTACACGCTTACCTGTAGGCTTCATATAACTTGACAGTTCAGCAATATTTTGTTGCAGTTGTAACTGTTGATCACCAACAGCGTGGATTTCTCCACATGATTCATTTCTAAACGGAATGCCAGCGCCAGGTGCTATGACATTTACAACATAATGTTGTAAATGTCATAGCACCTGTTACATTGTTACATTCTAAAAAGTGTTACATTCTAAAAAGAAATAATGTTACATTCTAAAAAGAAATAATTTTTTCCATAAATACAGCAGTACCTTCAAATGCTTTATTTTCAATCTCTGGATGTGTTCTTAATGCAGCTACTGTTTCTTCACAAAAAACAGACAAACAAAACTTTACAGATTGTCTCTCTATTGGTTTTGGATAAACTGATTTAGCTGTAAGTTTAGAGAGTTTAAAAAAACTATTGCACTCAGTTTTATATGAAGTTTCTAAATCACTCCATTTAGCCAAAGCTAGTTCTCCATTGTTCAAAAATTAAAGCTGGCCAGTCTTTTCTGTTAACCAATTGTTTCGTATAGATTTCAAGAGATGCACATAATCATACAATAAATATATACCTGATGTTGTTAACCATGGTTTATTATCAACTGTTTCAAACATTTCAAAAAACCTTTGATTTACACGGTTACCATCAGTAATTATTGCCAGTGTTTTACTATTTTCAATATTATTTATTGTATCAACAATTTGTTGACATTGAGTAAATTAAAACTCAGATGAAAGATTTGCAACAGGTTGAGCTCTACATATAAATTCTGGACCACCAAAAAGACATTTAATCATAAATGATAAAATTGTTTAAGCTAACTTTTCAGGGTAGTTTACTGCTTGACCAAACAAAGCACCTCTTTGGTTAAGTAATGAAGCTTTAACATAAACCTCATCAATTAGTAGTATGGAAGTTCTTTTCAATGGATCTAAATTCATAAAAATACTATTTACAAAATTTAGGTCCTCCATCAAGCTTATTTTTGAAGTCAATCGTGTTAAAGTCCGTATACTTGGCAACTTGTAGTCAATACATAAACAATCATATAAACTTCGTCGCATAGCAAAATACTTATATGCTCTACATATCTGGAGTATATAAAACTTCACCAACATTAACTTTTCTCATAGCATTAAGGTGCTCAAATAAAATATTTGATTGATGCGAACTTTCTTTATTTTTTAAAAATCTAGTTGCTCTAAATAAAGCTGATTTTGTTTTTATTAACTTTAATTTGTTTACAGTTAAAGATGAAATATTACAAGTTGTGCCATTATGGTAAGCTACAAATAAATAATCATCAAAAATATCTAAAATAAATAATGGAACACGTGTAAACTTTTTTTATTAAGCTGGAAAACAATAACATCGTTATTATCACTTAACAAAGATTGAATATCGTCAAATATAAGTTCATTCTCTTTTAGAAAATCACTTAACTCATCTGGTAGAATGTTTCGAAAACCGCTTGAAGTTGCTGGTGTGGGTAAACAACTAGTTGGTATATTTTTAAAAACAGATGGTGGATTTAAAGGCCGTTGCTTCCCATATTTGCTTTCAAAAGGTACATCATCTGGCCAATGCAGTCGACATAATGCTCTATAGTCTGAAACAGTAAAACCAGTTCTTGGGATTCTTGTGGCGAACGTGACGTCACTTTAACTAACTAAACGGCTACCATTATGGTATGGGGGCAAACAAAGCGCTTGAAAATGAAGAAATGTGTTTTTGATTGTTCAATTAATGTTAATAGTCATCCGAACTTGATTTGTTATATTTTGCTTCCTGATCCAAAGAGAAGAAAATCGTGGCTTTATGCTTTATATAAAACTGATTCATCTTGCAAAAACAAACTTTGGTCGCAAAACATGTCTAAGTATGCTCAAAACATTTTGTATCTGGTAAGTTTTGTGTTTGAATCGTCAAAATGTTTGAGCACAAATTTTTCTTGAACTTATTAAGTTTTTTTCGTCTATATATTTTTATTCATTGTAACTATGTTTCTCTTTTAGGGAAAAAAAAAACATAGTCTAGATGCTTTTCAAAATTTTGAAAAGCATGTTGACTATGCTCCATCAGTAAATATGTTAGGTGCTAAAAAATATATATAGTGAAATCATCCCTCCAACATAACCAATTGTTATGTGAAATGAAAGGAGAATAAATAGATTAAACAATTCAATTAGTATATACTATATAGTATTGGTATGTACTGTATAAACAACAAGATAAACTATATAATATATTGTTTATCTTGTTGTTTAAAATGTTTTTGTAAAAACTGTTTATGTAATAGTTACAATTTATTTTTGTTTTGCATTGATGCATAACAAAAATAAATTGTATATATAAATATTAATGCATTAAAACTAAGCATTTATAAATCATGTGTTTATTGTTTTTATTTTTAAATAAATTAATGTTCAATAGCTTGTTAAGCACAAATTTTGTATTTACTATATACCTCAAACATGCTTATATTTTTTTAGAATATTATGTACAAAAAAGTCATTGCAATAAATCTCAAGTTATTAAAGTCAGTGAACAAATAAGTACTGACGATTCGTTGACTGGAGTGGAAGATGTTAGTGTCTTGAACCGACATGAAACAACAAGTTAACTTAGCTGAGAATGATGGTAGTTTAAAAATAATGCAGCATTGGCTAGGTAAGTGATTATGTGTATGTTGGCTCACTCATAAGTCAATATATATGTGTTTATGTTCTGTGTTGACCTCTGGTGTCGTGTTGGCTCACCCTTTAGACATTATATGTGTGTTTGTGTTCTGTTTCAACCTCTAGTGCGGTGTTGATTCACTTGTAAGTCATTATGTGTATAATTTTATTTTGTTTTATTGTGTTATTATAGTGATGTTATTGTTGTGATGCTTTGTGTTGATAGACAACTTTGCTTACCTTCTCGTTGGTGTCTCTTGCTACAAATGATTATTAGATAGTTTTTTTACTTGAACTTGTTACTTCTAATCATTTACTAATAGGCAAGAAACATGTTTTAAAGAAAAACATACTTTTAATGTTGTCATTTTTAATCTTTAGGATTGTTCCTAGGTCACTAAACAATCTTACAAAGTAAGTTTCTTCTTTATTATTTATTTAGTTATATTTTTAATTAAATTTTCATTTTTCATGTTAACATGATACATAAAACATTAATTTGTAAATGCTTTCAGCATAAATTCGTTCTATTTTCTTTAGTAGAGTTTCTGCTGTTGTCACTGGTTTTAGAGAGTACCTTCGTGAATGAAGATAAAAAGTCATTTATGTTATTTTTTAAAAGCCAAGACATAATATTGTTAATCCTCATACCATTTACAAAAAAGCTTTTTAAATATTGTTACGATGTTATAATTCAAATTGTTGTAATTAGTAATTTTGATCATTTCATTATTATACTGTAAAAAATATTTTTTATTTATAACATTTATTTCACATATATTAAAAACATGAGGAATAAATATTACACTGAGGAAAATTTTAAGCAAAATATAGAATTTTTAAATGTTATTAGAATATCAATATGTAATATTTTTGTTTTATTTATTGACTACATCTGTAAACTGTGCAATAATTTCAAAATGATGAATTAATTGAATTCCATGATTCCTTTAAGCATTTGCACAGATTTATTTCAATATAACGCTAAATATTGTTCTGGTAACGTTCAGCAGCTTTTTTAGATAACTTTTCTTGATAATCATAAGACATTTAAGTAATGATGTAAATCAGCGCGTTTGTTTGCCCCCATATCATAATGGTAGATATTTTTGTTTTTAATTACGCAATGATCACGTGGTTTTTTCGCCGCAAGAATAGCATCGACTATCAATATTTCGACTTGTATCTTGACTATCAATGTTTCGACATCAATAGTTCGACTTGCTCCATCTTTTTCTCTCCTCTGGATTCTTCGGGAATTTGTAAATTGATATTTTTGTTGTTGTTGAGTAATAGTTCGACTTGCAAAGAGGTACACAGCATTTTAAAGGCATTTCAATTATTAAAATATCTATAATAATTATTAAAATATCTGTAATAAGGCCAATTTAACGCCTTGAACCTAACAACGTCTTGAAGTTGCGCTATTTATAAACCAATCAAATTTTAAAAATTTATTAAAAAAGCGCGAACGCAAAACTTTTGTCTAACGTTAAAAGACGTAAACACAGTATTAGAAAACATAAACACAGTATTAGATATCGGCCTTCAGTTAAACATCTTAGTTGCGCGATGTCAAGGCCTGTTTTATAGAAGGCAGTGATTAAATTGAAATTAACCGGACTTACAACATACAGACTACGGACTAACTACCTATAATAAATTACAAAATCCGCGGTACCAAACATGATTTCTGAAACAGCTGCTCAGGTAGGCGAAAAAAATAATTTTGCTGTGATTTTAAAATAGATATATAGAATAAATTAAAGACAAAAATTTTTTCCAGCAATTGTGTTGTTATTTTAATTCATATTAAATAAAATAATTGTTGTTTTATTTATCAAAACTGATGTGTGCCTGTATGTATATATTAGGAAATCTCAATTAAACAAAGTTTCGCATGAGTTTTTACTGATGAGAATTTACTACTAATAGTATTAATAATAATAATAACAATAATAATAGTAATAGTAATAATAGTAATAAGAGAATTTACTTAGTTATTATTTAATTATTTAGTTAAAACAAATTTAATAATTCATAAAAATTAAAATAATCAAAATAATAATATTTTTAAAAGGTCTATAAAAAAGTTTAATGATTCATTTGTTTCACAAAGATAAATCACGCACAAAAACTATTCTTATTAAAGGTTATATCTGGAAAAATAAATACGAAGAAAATTTTTTTTCTAAGTAGTATCTTTGACGTTTTAGTACTAATTTAAAGTTAAATTAAGGTAAAAAAAATGCAGGGGTTATTAGGTAGCTAACAATTTTTTGGTGTTATTTTTTAACTGATCACTTGTTTTGATATATCCAATCTGATCTTAACAATTAAAGTATGTAAATTATATTTTAATATATATACTATTCTTTTAAAGAGTTATGTTGTATGTACACTTGCGTTATTTAGACAGCCTTTTATGTTTTATTTTTTTTATTCAAGTATGACATCAAGTATGACAGGACTACTTGACTTGTTTCTCTGCACAGCACAGAAACAAGTCAAGTGCGATACTATCAGAGACATGTTTTGGATTGAACTCGACATATCTAGATTAAAAAGTAATATATGCCAAGTTTTCTACCACTGCCACATTTGTATGTTTGTTTTGTAAATGTTTAAATATAGCATTAAATTTTTAGTAGTTAACTTAAATTTTTTTGTGTGAGATAAGCATATTTTAAAAAAAGAATAAGATAAACGTGTATTTTTATATATGGAATAGAAGAAGCTTATAGACCTTGGATAGTCACCCTCCAAGTGGTTGTATAACAATAAAAATACTCAGTCTTGATCTGCACAACAGGTTAGCCAGGAAACACAATTTGTAAAAAAAAAAAAGTTGCCTTAACTATTCCATATTATATTTTTTCTCTCTTTTTTTTAAATTTCATGTTTCAGAGTAATTGAGTTGAGAACAACAAGTTAAAAAGCAAAATGAGTCTCCTTGATTGTAGTTGCTTCCTCTCCACTGTTGGTACTAGTGAGGTAAGTGCATTAAAAATGTTTTTGATTTTCTTGTTTTTTTTTTCTAGTTGTTCAATCGGTTATGTGATAAACCAAATTTATCCGATCTTGATGGGAAAATATTTTTTAAACAAAAAGATGACATTTTTTTTGCTGAGTTTGCTGGAAATGAAAGTTGTGGAAAAACAGAGCTTATGCTTAACTCAATTGTTAACACTATAATGCCCAAAGAGTGGAACAATTTGTGTATTAAAGGAATGAACTATACTGCGATTGTAATAGACCTGGCTTATAAATTTCCTGCTATTCGACTTATTACATTGTTAGAGAATCGTATAAAATTATTTTCAGAGAGTAATAACTGTGAATTAGACATTGACTGCTTCGTAAAAGATTGTTTAAGTCGTTTTTACAAATTTGTTTGTAATTCTACTTCAGATTTTATAAATGTGCTGAGTTATATACCACAATTTGTAAATGAAAATCCTGGGGTTTGTCTAGTTGCCATTGACAACATTGAGGTTTTTTACTGGATAGATAAAGTTAAAGGATCTAGATCAAACTTTGCAATTGAAAAACTGCTTAGAGTTTTAGTTGTAGAATTAAAGATTAATGTTATCATATGCAGAACAATTTTGTTTGAAGAAAAAAATGAGTATAAAAAATCATTTGATATTCCCAAGTACAATCTTAACCTCATATTAAAAAGCAATAATTTGTTTGTTTGTTCATCAAAAAATTATTCTCAAATCACTACATTCACAATTGACAGAAATGGTGTCAAATACTTGTAAGATATCTGTTTATATTTTGTTGATATTTACAGAAAAACTTTATATTAAAAATTTTTATATCATTATATTTCAAGAAAAATATTTTGTAACAAGTTGTCTTGATAAAATTTGATTTTTGGTTTTTATTTTATCATTTTTTATTTTATCTCTGTTGTTTGTTCAACTTGTTTGCAATTTTAAGGGTAACAAAAAAAAACCTTCCATGTTTTGAAAAAGAAATTCTGTTATTTCAATTCAACTTATCGTATATTTTGATTTATTACAAATAGATATTTCAATTTAAAATCACAAATGTCAAGTTAAGCATGTATCATTAAAAGTGTTTAAATTATCAAAAGTTTAAAATTAAAAGTTGAATCAACTTATAGATTTTACCTTAAGTAAATATTGTGTAAATGAAATCCGATCATGAAATCCAATCATGAAATCCAATCATGGTTTCAATATGATTAAACTGAGTATTCTCTAAGTTTTATTTTTTATTCAAAGTGTAAGAAATGTAAAGATGTGTGTTATTGCCCCTGATTGCAATGTTTCATTGTTGTGATAATGTTGAGATTACATTTTTATTTTGAATTTTATTAAAGCTAATATATATATATGATTTTATATTTCTTTTTCAAATATTTATGAACGTATTATGTTATATATTAATGCAATAATGAGTAAAAATTGATTTTTATTTTTTATTTTTTGTTCTTTAAAAGGTCACCACTAAATCAAAAGTTTAACTTTACTATGTATGTATTTATATATAGTATGAAAATCTATAATATTTCAGCTCTGCTTTTCAAATTTCTTTTGAAGTACTTGTATAGTCGTTACTTATGTAAATTTAAACGTAGAAATTTATATAGCTTTTTATATAGCTTCGGCATAATATACATAATTACAAATATAAAAAAACATGGGCTCAAATCTAGTAACTTATAAGAAATAAGAATATTTGTATATAAAAAAGTGAAATGTTCAGCATGACTGAAGTATACTATAAATAAATCTAAAGTTGACTTACTCCTTTATACAGTAGTCATGACGTTGTTGAAAGCATTTGATTTCCTGTTTTGCGCAATAATTAGTTTTGGGAATTTTTCACGCAAAAAAATAATTAAAATAAAAACTAAAATATTTCAATAAAATTTCAATAAAAGTTAAAGTCTGTCATACAATAAATACAACTTTGAAATAAGTACAACTTTGAAATAAATTCAAACAGTTTTTTCATACTGTTTGGATTTATTTAAGCGTTCTCATAAACGTATTACTATTATAAAAACGTATGAATTTCGCAAAAAGACATTATTTTTGTTTATAATAATCTAAATTCATATTATCCAAGTTAGTATTATTATAATTAACTTTAAATTTATTGTCCTAAAAATATTAAACGTTTAAATAATTCAAGTTATTTGAATCTACGAATCTTTTGATCTTCGTCAAACATATTTCATGTGGGAACCAATGTGAAGCAAGCTTTTTTTTTTACTGGGATGATAACTAAAGTACATTATTAGATGGGACAGTTGTTTATTGATTATTGCAGTTTTTATTGACTTAACTACTATGAATTTTCTGATACCATGATCATCATGACAGATTTTCTGAATACGTCGATATAATATAATAGAAGGTAAATGTTATTTTTGTTGATGTTGTTAATAAGGTGCTACCATAACTTCTTACAGTCTTCTAACAGAACACCGCGAAGAAGTTAACACTGCGCCACGGTTGCACCGTAAACTCAAAACCATTTATTTAATGATAAAATTTTAAATGTAGGCCGTAAATTTGTTGGCGGATTTTTTGGAAACAACAAGATCTTTTATTTATCCTTCTTTAGGTATACCATATAAAGATATCGTGAAAAAAGAAGAAAATATATAAAATTATTACTTGCATTTCTTTATAGTTCAGGGCCGAGACAAGTTTCGAAGTAAGGGGGGGGGGGGGCAATTGTAAATTCTTTAAAAAAGTCTTCTGTATCTAGAATTTTCTAATTTAAAAAAAAAAGTGTGTGGAGGGGTACGTGCCCGCCTGGCCCCCTGTGTCGTTGGCCCTGTAATTTTATTTACAAAAATATATATTCATACAAAAACTTTTCGTTGAATTTCCAATTTATTCGTTCTGTATTTATTCCATACACTAACATAATAAATTATTTATTAAAAATGATGAATTATTCAATAAAAATGTCGATGGCCTCCTTTATCTAGAATTTTAACAATGCCTTCGAACAGTAGCTAAAAAAATTTCACACGATATCCAAGTATAAATCTTCTTTTCTTTGTTTGACTACTTAAAGTATCAAAACTCACCTGGGGTCTGCCAGATACTACAGTTGGATAAATGCAGAGTTATTTTTATAAATGGAAGCAATTAGTTAAATATAACTAATTGCTTCCATTTATAAAAATAACTCTGCATTTATCCAACTTTTTTTTTTTTTATAGGTTATTTATATAAAAAATCTTGATATAGAGGACTTTTTTCACAAATTGATGATTGTGTCCCTTCCCCCCCCCCCCCCCACTTTACAACCCGTGTCGTCGGCCTTGTATATATATATATATATATATATATATATATATATATATATATATATATATATATATATATATATATATATATATATAATATATATATATATATATATATACATATATATATATATTTTAAATATAAACTGAAAAATTTAATTATCTTAATGGATGATGTAGTCAGATTTTTTTAACTTTATATTTTCTTTAGAACTTTTATTGTTTATTACGTTTTATTTGTTGATTATGTTTTGATGTAGCTTATATAAACACGTTTGTAAAAGGTTCTGATGATAAGATCAGTACGATCTTCTTTCAGAAACCTTGTTTGTGTTTGTGAAAGTAATTTATTTACTACGACAACAAATGTAAACTTAAAAAAAAAAAAAAAAAAAAAAAAAAAAAAAAAAAAATATATATATATATATATATACATACATATCTACATACATATATATATATATATATATATATATATATATATATATATATATATATATATATATATATATATATATATATATATATATATATATATATATATATATATATATATATATATATATATACATACATATATATATATATATATATATATATATATATATATATATATATATATATATATATATATATGTATACATATATATATATATATATATATATATATATATATATATATATATATATATATATATATATATATATATATATATATATATATATATATATATATATATATATATATATATATATATTATAATATATATATATATTGTAAACTCTTATATGTGTTAAGTGTATAATAGATTTGGTTTTTTTGAGTTGTTTACAATATTTGCAGAAATTATTGGCATCAATATATCAACTGTACCAATTAGAGCACATTGGTAGATGACTATGCGGGGTCCATGGATCGGAAATAATAAAGTGCCCCATATAACTTATATTATAAGAATTATATTTTTTGTTTAAATTTTATACATTTTAACGAATGGCATGTACTTCTGACGAATATAAAATTTTATATAACAAATCTAATTTTTAACATATCATTTTAAAAATGTAAATAGTGTTAAAAACTAATACTTATAATTTAGTTTTTGGTTTTACATAAGTTTTACTATTAGTTTACTTAATATTATTATGTAAAAAAAAAATTTTAAACAATTACTTTATTTTAAACTTTTTTTTTTTTTAATTTCAAATCTTTAAATGGTTAGGTATAAAAAAAAAACAGACAGAGTTGTTATGCCATGTGATACAACGAAAGAAGCTGATAATGAAGTTTTAGAAGGTAGACTAGTAAATGTTGTTGCAAGTTTAGCAAGATATTTTAATAAAAAGAAGCTCAATTCAAATGAATCTTTTAAGCCTAACTAATAAACAAGTTTTTACATCAGAAGATGTAAAAAGTTTATCAAGTTATTTATTACTTGCATCAAAAAAATGAACTTTCAACCAAGTCAACACTATTATTGACATATGAGTTTGCTGTAAAAAATAAAAATCTGCCCATCATCATGGGTAAAAAATAAAATGGCAGGGATTTTTTGGTTGCAAGGTTTTATGGTAAGACAATCAAAGTTGTCTTTATGAACATCCGAAGCAACTATCTTTGCTCGATCAAATGCCTTTAACCGACACACTGTAGTAGAATTTTTTCAAAATCCAAAAACAGTAAGAAAGTGATATAACTTTGAGCATATATAACGTTGATGAAACTGGATTTAACAACGGTACAAAAGCCAGTAAAGGTCTTATCAAGTAAAGGAAGTAAATAAGTAGGAAGAATCAGAAATGAAACTCATTTGTCAGAAGTAAAGAAAACCCTAAGCCAAACTAACTAACATAAGAAGCTCATCGCAAAAGATTAAAAAAGAGAAGTTAAAAACTACATGCTCAGAAAAAAACAATGTAAAAGCACGACTTAACTTTGATAAATGATGATAAAGTCTTAATTAAAGTCTTGTATGAATTTTATATATTTTTTATAAACTTAAAATACTGTATTCTTATAGACTTTATAAGTTTCACGTTTTGTAAAACTTTACACATACTTTTTTATTTTTTATTATATTACAGTAATCAATACAACTTCCACATAAAAGTTTATAATTGATGAAGGGAAGCACACCAGACTTTCCTATGCTGACGATGGACTTTGTTGCAGCCGAAGTAGCATTTTAAACGTGTTTTTTAAAAAAGTGCACAGTGGGTGCATTAACTACATTTTGAGCTAATTTGTTCCATCGGTTAGTAAGTCGGTTTGTAAAAAAGTGCTGACGTTCTGAATTTCTTATGATCAGTTGTGGTTTTAAACATCGACTATTTCTTCTCAGATTATATCGTGAGTTTAACAAAAAAGGCTTTACTTGCGGTATTTAAAATTTAAATTCTTGTAACTGATGAGCAATTTTGTATTGCAGTATAAGGTCACTGCGAATTCTGCGTTCTTCCAGCGTGGTTAGATCTAGTAGTTATAGTCTTTTTTTGCAATTAAAATGTTTAATCGACGATATAATTTTTGTTGCACGTTTTTGCACACGTTTGAGAAGAGGGGTTTCCGATTTAAGACGTGGAGACCACGTATATAACAGGCTTATTTTCATATATACAACTGTGGTCATTCTTTAAATGAAAATTTGTTTTGAAACGCCATACACTGGTGTGTATTAGGTTGTAATGATATACATTTTTTTATAGTAATTTTACACTAATATCCTTCAACTAAAGTATTTATAGCACTTAGATATAAGAGTATTAAACACGTGAATAATTTTACTCATATAAGATCAAAGCGCCCCAAGTCGAAAATTATAGTACCCTATTTTATGGGGTACATTGATCTTTTGAAAGGGTTGTTTTAATGTTAAAATATATTATGTTTATCAATTTTTTCTAAAACATTTACTTTTAATTAAAGAAAGATTGTTCTAGTTTAATTTAGTAATTAAAAAGTTTTTATATCTTTCGCAGTTTACAAAAGACTGTTACGACAATCAATGTTATATCGGGTTGTTCGCAGTTCACAAAAGAATGCTACGACAATCAATATTATATCGGGTTGTTCGCTGTTTACAAAAGACATAACTTTTTAAGACACCTTATTTTGTAAATAACTTACGTACAAAATAGTGTTACAATAGCTCAAGAAAATACTAGATTTTATCAAATTATGCAATAAAAAGAGAGGTTTTAAAACTAACAACTTTTTTATGTTTATTAGTAAAATAAAATTGT